AGGGTGTGGTAGTTGACGAGAATTATGACAAATGGCGAGTGCATGAGTAGTATAAGGAGACCCGACGGCCATGAGAATTTGACAAGCATCGTGGACTGATTTTCGGTTTTCTAATTCACAGCGTTTGTCAAAAATGCTCAGCTAGCGCTCCTCGCGGAGAAAATAAGTACTGCGTATATTCAAAATTTTATAACCAAACAAATTTGTTTTATTTTACAATGTCATCATGGCAGTGTCTCTGTACATATATTAATTTTTTTGTGAAATAGTTATTTGTCAAAAATTTGTTTTGTGTAAGTGTTAAAATGATACATAACAACTTTTTTTCTCACTGATGCGTCTTTTTCTATTTTTGCAAATCCTATAAAATCACCATCACCTTCTGTGTAACACCATCTGTCATGAGGTAAAAATTCATCCTTCATATTGCTCAACAGATACTTGTAATTAAATGGATATTTTATATAATTATTTAATGCTTTTAAATAATAAACAAACCATTTTTGTTTCTAATATGTCATGAACATAACATTGTAGCAGACGACATTTATTGCCTCCTTTCTCCGCGAGGAGCGCTAGCTGAGCATTTTTGACAAACGCTGTGAATTAGAAAACCGAAAATCAGTCCACTATGAATGTATGTCGTCGGGTCTCCTTATACTACTCCATGGGCGAGTGAGTACAATGGAAACCAACCAATATACAAAGAAAATTAAAGCCAATTGAACAAGAGACTCAAGAAGGAGTTGCAGCTGTTCACGCAAGAAAAGAAAAATAAAGTTTTATTTTCATAATTATTTTACGTATAACTAAAAATAATATATTATATGATGTAAATGTTATTAAGATGTATTACATATTTTAAAATTATCTCGCGCTAATTATTGCGACCAATCAGGTGTCTTTAACTGAATAGGTTATGTTTATTTTCACAACGTAACAGCTGTTCACTAATCTAAAAGTATAATAAAAGACTTAATGATAGAACGTCCAAGCGCCCGTCCTGCCGGAAGGCTTTTTTGGATGGCCCTATATATATGAGGGTGGTAAAAAGGGAACTCAAAATTTTTTTCTGTCACCCTTTCTTATTAAAGTAGACGTAAAAACGAAAAAAATCATGCGTTAGACTTTTAAAAAAATAATATTAAACCATGTTTCGAAGCCTTCAAACTTTGCATGTTTGCTACAAGCCAAAAAAACAGTTTTTCATAAATTCACTGTAAAATCTACAAAAACCAATATTTTTCGGTCTAACTACTCTCATTTTCTTCTGAAGCCTTCAAAGAATAAAATGTGACAGTTTATTTTAAAAAAAATTCAGTTTAAATATTTTTTTGGATTCGTCAAAAAAACCCTATAAAAACGTTCTTTTTCTTTGAATTCCCTAGCCTAGGGATTTTATTTTACAAATTTTATGTTTACATGCGCTAAAAGCTTGTGTTTTTACCTTTCCAACGATATATTTTACTTTTGGATTATCTGAATCCATGTTAATTTTATAAAGCGATTTCGTAGGGACTCACGTGAGTTTTTTTCATCCTGCCGGAAGGCTGTTGGACGTTCTATCATTAAAGGAGATTCAAAATTTATTTCCGCTTTGTGTAAAATAGTGAAATAATTATTCATTTTATATATATAGTTAAGATGGTAACTAGGTGTCTCCTATTAAGTATTTTATTAACCTAATCATATCTGATAAGGTAAAAATGTAATTGACCAACAGTCAAATTTTTATGTACGAAACTCGTACAAATATTTTTCGTGCATGGTTTCTGAAAAATATTTGTACGAGTTTCGTACATAAAAATTTGACTATTGGTCAATTACATTTCTACCTTATCAGATATGATTAGGTTAATGAAATACTTAATAGGAGACACGTAGTTTTTTTTTTTTTTTGCTTAGGGACTATTGGGAAATCTGTATACAGATACCTTGACTTCCGCATACCAAGGTTATGTGGGGTTGGTAAAAAAAAAAAAAAAAGGAAAACACTAAACAAAATAAGCTGGCGAACTACTACCAGCCCCGACCCACTAAAACCCGTCAACCCTTCTTGGGAGCCCTTTTATCCACCCTCGGTACTGTCGTGAAGACTCTTGCCTTCGAGAGAGGAGACAATATTAAAATTCAAAAACAAAATTACCATCCTCGCTATATATATATATAGGTATATGGTGTAAAATTCCTGTAGCGAACTAAGTAAAAAAAAAAAGTTGATCGGATCGGGCTGTAACTTGCACATAGTTTAGCCCTAGGAGTGAGTAATTTAACCACGAAGTAATGTTAGGTTTTTTCAAAAACTGTCGGAGAGCGAGGGGGTTGAATTTTTTAAAAAAATTTAAACAGTGAATTTTTAAAGACATGTAACTTTTAAACAGAAAAAAGAAAAAAAAATTTTCTATGTTTTCGAAATGTTTTTTCCTGCTCTTTCGAATGGTGCAAAAATAATTTTTTAATTCAAATTTTAACCCATTTTTTTGAAAATTAAACTTTTTTCGAATTTTTTTTTATGTTTGGTCCTAGGGCTAAACTTTGTGCAAGTTACAGCCCGATTCGATCAACTTTTTTTTTACTTAGTTCGCTACAGGAATTTTACCCTATATATATATAATTTAAACATTTTCAATGTTTGTGTTTTTGATAAATAAGATTTATGTATAATATAAAATTTAAATATTAGCGCTTATTTTTGACGAAATCAACTTCAGCTCCACCTGTACATTTCTAATCATGCTTAGTATTAAAAACATTTGTAGTAATGTACACACGTATTAATGTAAGCCTTATCGTAGTAATGAACGCATTGGCATTTTTTTAATTCTTTTCTTTTAATGGGTACAAATTAACTTATTTGAGTCACTTACATATTTTTTTAATTCTATGAAAGATCAGGTAATCATAAAAAAGAATTACTAATAACCATTCACTATAAATTATTTAAATGTTTATTTGAAAATGACTGATTTTTAAGAAATGTGAAATATTCTGTTGTTGATTGAAAATTTTTTTAAAGTGAAAATTCTAACCATTTACTTTTATGGGTTTATAGGCCTCATTTTAATATAAGTGAAAGTGAGAGTTGATGCCAACACGAACTTAATTTTTAAGTAGCATTATTCATAATTAAGAATCTCGTAATTGAAGGGTGACAAAAATATTGCTTATTAAAGTTTTTGTAATTGCAATAAGACTTATCGAAAAAAGAAACTGATTTCTAGTATTGTTTACAAACAATAAACTCGTCATGTAATGGCTCCTATAATGTATTATTACAATTTTACCCACCAGGAAATGCAGAAATTTATGAAGACACTTATTTCATCTATTGACGCACAATTTCTTAATTACAATCTTATGAATTTCTGATTCCATACGTAAATCGCACATTAAAATTTCATGTATCTATTTTTACGCTATTAAACAATAATAAATAATTATTTAAAGTAATAGATACATCTGTTCTAACATGCCAACATCACGTGAGAGATGAATTTATTATCCTTTATTTAAAAAAAAAAGTAATTAAACACGTGCTAATGTAAAGAGACGCTTTTATTATGACCTTGCGTTTCAATGATATTTCTTATTTCATTTCAATTAGCTAAATTTACACTATGTAATTAAAACATCATTTGTCTTTAAATTTCACTGAAATATTGCCGTTTTTACAGCTTACTAAGATTATCTTCGATTATTTTTAATTTTATCATTTTTCCCATTTTTATATTTTGTAAAGCATATTATTTATATATTTATTTTTACCAACTGTTTTTTTTGTTTGGAAGGGGGAAAGCGCATGTTTTTAACCGTGTATTACTCATTTAATCAAAATAAAAACTTTAATAATGTTATTAAGTTATATTTCGATCTCGGAGAATTTTTTTCAACACAATATTTTGATAGTACATTTAATGCCAAGTAAAATGAGCTATTGTTGAACATTACAGTACCTGGCAATTTTCGTGAAGGTCGTTTTTCAATTATTTGTGTAAAGATGCTTTTATAGCTTCTTGGTTTTCGGCGAGGGATGCATTTTTACGGAGAATCACTGAATTGATTATTAAAAATTGTTAAGAATGTATTGAAATTTTATATTTAATTTTTAATTTATTTAAATTTTTTCTTTTATATCAAGCAATAAATAAACCTTACTTTTTAAACAATAGTTTTGTCATTAACTGTTAAAAATATTCGTAAATTTTAACAGTACCAAGCACCAATTTTTCTTTTAATATTGTTTTTGGTAATAACTTTGTGATACCTGGTGTTCTATTATTTTAGCACAGTTTAAAAAAAATTGAATTTAATGGAAAATTATTTAATTCTATTCAGTGTAAATTAACAATTTATCAGCTGGTATTATTATTTGAAATTATTCAGATGCAAGGCGAATCAAAACTACAATAAATTTCCAGAATTAGAAAACGAGTTTTCGGTGTTCGTCAGGCGTGTGTTTAGTCTTGAGAATTTTTTTCATGCATTCAACACGTCATAGAATTAATAAGATATAAAACGATGCAACTCACGGCAAAAATTTCTTTTATTGGACAAATAAAAGTTATAAAGTGTTACATCAGTTGTAAAAAAGAGTGTTCAAGGACAAAAAATAATTCAAAAATAATTTTTAAATATGTAATTTTAATTTTTCTTCACTTGTTATTTAATTTCTTTTACAATTTTTTTTTATTTCATCAATTTCTAAATAAAAATAAACTGAACCTTATAAACCAAATGAAATTAAAAGTTAAGAATAAAAAATTTTAATAAAATTATAATTTTTATGTAGTAATAATAATAGTAGTAGTTTTAGAAACCAATAATATTAAATTTATTAGATTTCAGAAGTTTGGAAAATTTCTTAAAATGTTTAAAGTTTTGCATTTTTAAAAATAATTAATTCTTTTGTCTATCAGAGGTATGTAAATTATCACCCGAATGTTCATAAGATAAGTCTTCATCTTGACAAATGAATACTGGTTTCTGGAACAGTTTCCATGTACTGATAATTAAGTGCTTTGTTTATTCATGAATAAATACAATGAAAGTTAATGTTCGAGAGAATAACAAAGTTTCAAGAAATGTGTTTAGTAATTCCGAAGAAATGTTAACAAAGTTATATTAAAGTATAACTGTGTTATAAGTTTAAGTTATGAGTTGTGTTTGACAATTTTTAGTATTAAGGGTACTTATGTACGACAGAGTTAGTTCCGTTTATTATTAAGTAAATAAATATAATTTTAAGTAGATCTGAGGGATGATAATTCGTCGCAAAATAAATTTTTCAATTCAGAAAAATATTTACTGTGATTTTTTGTAGGTGCTTTTTTAAACACGTTTATATTCCCGCTTGATATCACCGTGCCATTCAACCAATATTCCGTGCTACTTAAGGAGCTTCTTTGCACACACTTTTCGGTGTGTAAAATTTAACTTTAGAGGTTATTGTTGCAAAAAATTTATTTTATATTTAAAAATTAAAAATATTATTGATAATATCCACTGAAAGAACAGAAACTAAGTTTTAAGAAAAAAATTTTAAACTTACAAAAATTATTTATTTATATATTTTTCATATATGATCAACATTTTTTTCTAATTGTTTCTTTAAAATTTGTTAAACACGATCAGAATTAAATGAATTATTTTTTTATTTTTAATAATTCTTAACATCTTTACCTCAGGGATTTTTAAACAAATGCACCCCACATAGCACCTGAACTTGCAGCAATATTTCCAATATTTATTCTATATTCTAATATTGGAGAAATAATGGCAATATTATTGACATTTTAAGTGCTGTGGGAGACCATTTTTTAAATATGGTTATCGTGAAACATTTTTTTAAACAAATAACAACATTTGAAAAATGGTGCCTTATTGTTTAAAAATCTCTGTGTTAAAGATGTTAAGAATTATTATTAAAAATCTATTATTCAATTAAATTGGATCATTTAAAAGAAATTAAAGAAGTGCTATCAAAAAAATTTCAATCATATATGTAAAAAATATAAATAAATAATTTTTGTAAATTATTAATTTTTTTCTTAAAACTTAGTATCTGTTATTCCAGCGGATATTATTAATTAATTTATTTATTTATATACATTCCCGCGGACCATTTTTTTGCTCCATAAATGGGTAATTAATCATAATATTATAATTTTTCAAATGTCAAATAAATATTTCTTCTGGAGGTCTACTCTCTAAATCTGAATCAGTCATATTTCACTGATTAGCAGTAGAAATCTACTAATTGCCATAGCGAGAATTGAGCAACTGATAATTAGTAGAAATTTACTGATTGAATCAGTAATATAAACATATGGCAGCGGCCGCAAAATCTACTGATTTAACAGTTAATTTGAAAGGTTATGTTATATACAAATTACTGATTTACATAAGTTATTTTCTATTGCTTGCATATTCACTAATTATATTAGTAAATTTCAAAAAATAACTGAAACTTCAGTTAAAATGAAAAGTACTGATTGAATTAGTAAAATTTCTACTGATTCAGTTTTAGAGAGTATATTCCCGATTAAAAACATCCTTACTAGATTTCCCTAAGATTTATTTTAAGTGTATACATTATTATTATTCTATAATCAATTCTCACGAAATGAAGCTACCTTATCTTATAAATTCATAATAATTTGAAGAATAGAAACTAGATTCTCTCGAGTACAATGTTTAACTTTCTGAAAATTATAGTTACGTTGAATGACTATTTAAAATATAGCAATTCTTGTCATTAGGCTTGAAATATATCGAGTATATCTTGAATTATTCTAAAGAGATAATTAATGGCTCCTATCTTGAAAATCAGCCACGATACGAAAACTATAAACCATCCTTTCACAATTTTGTCAATCCATCTCATTCTGAAAAGAAAAATTGAATAAAATAAAATTACTTAATTATCAGAGACATAATAATTAAATAGAAAAACATATCACTTTAAATATTTTAATTTAAAATAAACAGAACGTTTTATTTCTCAGTTGAGGTATAGTTTGTTTTTTTAATAAAGTAAATTTCAGTAAATGAAAGTTAACAAACAAAAAGTAACGCTTGTTTACTTTTCTTATTTATTTACTTATATTATTATTTTATTATACTTATTAATTAACCAAATAATAATTCTATTGGAAAATTTACTTTTTGAGCAAATCTGTTTAATTTCCCAGAAAAACAGAGATATTCGCATTTCAATCTTTGATTTTTTTTTTAAGGTTTTCGGGTTTTCGGTCATTTTAACTTTAAAGTTATGTTTCTCCGCGGTTTTTTCATCTAAACGATTCTAAAATCTCTAAAAAAAATTTTAAAGTCTAGAAATTCGGCCACATAGATAAGATTTAATAGTGGCAAAGTCGTTTAAGAGTGATCCAAAGGACCATAACTTACGTCTAGAAAAAGCGAATTACAGCTCCTAACGTCAAAAATTGTTTTTTTTTTGCTTGTGAAAAATACATAAGAAAACCAAAAATTAAATTCTTAGGGTAAAAATTGTAGACGCTATGGTAAAGATAAAATTTTTGAGTTTGTCGATAAAAAAAATTTTAGTTAATTGCTATATTTTTTTTGCAATCTACACATGAGAATATCATTTGTACCAATTTCAGCTTTTAAAGTCAATATTTATTAACGGAACCCTAACCAAAATTATGTTTAAACTAAGTTTAATTACAAAATAAAATAATAAGTTACAATTAAATTATTTAAAAGAAAGAAAATGATAAAAAATAAGCTTTTAAGTAAACATAAGGTAAATAAATAAGAATAATTTTTCAGTCAAAAACATTTTGTAAAAACAACTAAAATTTTCTTATAATAATAGAAATATATTTATAAAAGAATACGTACATTACATAATAATAAATATTAATCATAATTCAAGTTTTGAAAATGTTGAGGAAGATTAGGAATTCTATTTTTAAAGCAGGAAACTAGACGCTAATAATTATGTATTAAGAAACTAGTAAAGATAGTGGTAAACAAACAGTTTTTCCCATTACGTCACTCAGACGATCATTAATTATGTTAAATTTTTTAATTTTAATTAGGACTTAGTCGAATAAAATGGATTAATCGTGTGCTTTTCGTAGCAATCGTCATATACATTTTATGTGAATGGAATGATGGGAGGTTGTTGCCATTCGACATGCATCCAATGACGTAATTTGCAAATCACTTTTTATTTCATAAATCCTGTAATAACAATTTATTTATAACGCTTGAGACACTATCTTTCCAATTCAGGTGCATATAGTAAAATTACCGTGCAAAATATAAGCAAAGTGTTTTCTCTAATCTAAACAGAACGAATGTTCTGAAGTCATTCACCTCTCGACATTTCAGTCAAGATGTAAAAAAAATTTTTATTTGATCTCTCTGCAGTGCATTGAAAGATTTTGAAAAAATGTATTATTCTTTTATATGAGAATGAAGAAAAAAAATTTCCTTTACTTTGTATCCATAAATTAATGGACTTGAGTGCAAACTTGAATAAAAAAATGTTTACAGCTGCAAAAGCTGTGAATAAATTAAACTTATCTACGTGGTGATTACAGTATAATCTTTCTCAAATATAAATTGTGTTTATCAACAAGGATATCCTAAAAAATATCTAAATTTGTAAATTTATTTGACTGCGTTTTTTTAAAGACGTCATAATGTCATCAGATATGATTTTAAACCTTGATTTTTATATAAACAATATTCTTTTCTTTCTAAATTACACACGTGACATTTGCAATCTTAACGAAAGTCGTCAAGTAAGTTGGCAAATTAACTTCAGCACATTTTTGCATATACGATTTGCACTTCATATGCTGTAATAAAATAAATCCTACAATTTTGTTCTCTTCTTTGTTATTGGAAGCTTTATAAGTTGGCAAATGCTCTTATCACAAGGAAAAGTTATATTGTTGAAACAATGTAAATTTTTATTTAGATAATTGAAAATGCTCTATTATACTTGGGAGAATAATTGCAGACTACAGAAGATTAAATAAATTCATTTTTTCACAATTTTTTTAATTATAACTAATAATTAATAATTCCTTTCCTTTAATTATAACGAATAATGTTCTACGAATTTGTACTCACTGAAGTGTTTCAAAGAATGTAATTTTCATCTAGCGGAAAATCGGTGAACTATGCATTAAGATTTACTCACAAGTAGGGATAAAAGGAACTGCGCATGTCCAAGTAGTTGAAATAGCGCGCGTGCTAATTTAAAATAATTAATTTTAGAAAACTAATTAAATATCATAATTATATTATTCATTCAATAAATTATTTATACGCCATGTTAACAGTTGTAAGGCTCTAGTAACTAAAGAAACTAATGAAAAACCTTTTATAATAGCTTGTTGGAAAGATCATCTAATTGCGCAACTTTTTCCTAGAGACACATGTACTTTAAAATGTATTGTTTAGCTGCTGCATCAATTTTAAAACAATTTTCAAACTGGCCGGTTTGCCCCACCCCTGAGGTAAACCGGCCAGTTTATTTTATTTTTTTTTTGTATAGAGAATTAGTTGTAAGGAAAACGTCACTAAATATAAAAAATCAATAAACAATCTCCCTAATAAGGAAAATAATAAGAAAGGATTAAATTACAATTAAAGAAACATCTTATTTATTATAAAACAAATATTTTTAACTAATTGTTGTCGTTCAGGAAGAAACGTCTGTCGGTGAACTTTGTAAAACTTCGTAAATCTCCGTAAAGTGGACAAAGATTTACGAAAGCGTGCACGAAGTTTTTTAGCCGATAGGTAATAATTTTCGTGAATTTCTGTTGCAAGGGAAACAGACATAAGTCGGTTTGCCCCACAGGCCCATTTTGACAATTAAGACCTGTATAAAAAAATGCTTAGCAAAATCATTAAATAATATACCGATAAATTTAACTGAGGCATGCACCTTTTAAACCTAAAAAACAATTTCAATAAATATTACACGATTTTCTCACAAATTGCTTAGGAACAGATTCGTAAAAATTTCTAGCGGAAGCGAAAAAACAAACTTTTGTTTATAAAATTGCATAAACACAATCAAAAAATGTCAAACTGAAGAAATAAGTTATTATTAATATAGTCTTTTCAAATTTATAATTGACATATATTTAAAGTTTGACCAATTCTGAGAAACTAACACTCGGCCGGTTTGCCCCAGTCTCCCCTATATTTATTTATTAAAACCAGGGTGTTCAAAAATTATGGAAAGGATCAAGAATCTCGAAAAGCAAGCAAATTTTAACAGAATTACAAATTTGATATTGAATATTAATTTCTCATTTAACCCATTCACTGTCAGCGACACATATATACGTTGTGTCGTAATTATCTTAACACAAAATGAATTAAATTTTCTATGTACACTGGAACGCCAGTTATTCGGAAACTGATTATTTGGAAAGCTTTGGCGCTAAAATGGGGTGAGGAGAAAAGGGAAGTATCTATGAACGCAGTAGCGCATCTATTAAAGAGTCCGTTCCCCGCCTTAATTTAATGTATTATTTTGCAATTATTTATTAGTGTTATATGAATATGATAAAAATTAATAAACTGTGTGACAATTTTGCTGAGTAAAATTTGTTTTATTTATGAAAAATAATTAATATTTCTCACTTAATTAATATTTTCTTTTCTCACGTCTTATGCGTTTAACCTCAATATTGTTGGTTAACTGTCAGACTTTGGTTATGTATTTCAATCGAAGGCAAAATAAAACTTCCTACGGCCCTGCAAGTTTATGCTTTTTCGTCAAGGTGACCTCTCCGGATTATTCGGACACACATCCGAGTTGTCCGGGTATTAATGATATTTGGTTAAGTAATAATTAAATAATTATTTTTAAGTAGTATAACATTGAAAAACAAGTAAAAATCACGAAAATTTTTTTTTTCAATTTAACCCACATTAGGTGCGTATAAGAGTTTTTGGCGTCGCTGAATTCAAATTTGACCTTTAAATTAAAAAATAAAAAATGGCGAACATAATTTTTTAAATTTTAACGGATTTTAATGAAACTTGATATAAAGGGGTTTTCGAAGGTGCTGAATTCAAATTTGATCTTTAATATCCAAAAATATCCCCTTATACTAATTTTTATTGATTTTCGCATAAATTAAACAAAATATGTCCGATATTTTGAATTTTATTTTTGAGGTCAGTTTTGAATTCAGAGGACCCCAAAAACCCTTATATTAAAAGTTTTATTAAATTCCGCATAAATTTTAAAAAATATATCTGCCATTTTTAATTATTTTTTTGAGGTCATATTTGCCCACACAGCACCCAAAATTTCCGGAAACTTGACAGAGCCTCACACGGCAAGGTTAGGAAACTTCAGTGGCAAGGTTCATACAAGTTTGTGTCAATGTTTAAATGTCCGCATGAAAAGAATATTTACACGAAACTTTGAGGAAATATTACACTATAAATATTCACGTGCAATGTTCAGTCAATGTTGTGTAAATATTCACCTATACTTATTATATTAGTAAATAAAATTTTTATAACTAGGCGAAAATGTAATTTCAATATTGACAAAACATTGACTGAACATTGCACGTGAATATTTATGTGTAATATTTCCTCAAAGTTTCGTGTGAATATTCTTTTCATGTGGATATTTAAACATCGACACAAACTTGTATGAACCTTGCCACTAAAGTTTCCTAACCTCGCCATATGAGGTTCTGTCAAGTTTTAGGGAATTTTGCGTGCTGTGTGGGTGAATTCATCGACCCCAAAAACCCTTATATACTAAGTTTCATAACAATTTGTCTACCAGAACCAAACGTAGTTAACGATGCGCGCGAGATCTCTCTATTCTTTCTCTTGTTTTTCAATAAAATTTTATTAATTT